CAAGTCTTAAAGCTGTCAAGTTTGAACACACCTGGGTTTTTTTCTTCTAAAGGGTTAGGGGTGCAAGGGTCTTGTAACTTGACAGCTTTGTGTGCTTCAAATGCCAGAGTTTCTGAGCCAACATTTTGGTTGCTAAGCAAGAAGGTTGTTAAGTGAGTTTCACCACATCCACGCCCACCAGTCACATGGCTGGCAAGCCACTCCCACTCAGTCACATGGCCAGCAAGCCACTCCCACCTGGTCACATGGCCGGCCAGCCACTCCCACAAAGTAGGCCACACCTACAGAAGAGGTTCTAAAAAAAAATTGAAACCCACCACTGGTTTGTATCCCTCGAGGATTCTAATCTATAAGAGGGACTACTGAATTTCTAGACCAGTGATGGCGAATCTTTTCGGCACCAAGTGCCCATACTGGAATGCGTGTGTGCGCCAGAGCCCCGAAAACCTGAAGGCCAGCTGGCCAGTCTGCATGTGTGTGCCGGCCTCCTGGTCTTTGGGTTTCTGGCGCATGCATGCGCACCAGCCCGGTTGTCTTTGCACGTGCCAGAGAGCCAAAAAACGTGAAGACCAGGTGCAGCTTGCACATCAGCCAGCTGATCTTTGGATTTCTGGGAGTCCAGCCCGCACAAAGACCAGCTGGCTGGCACACATGTGCATACCAGAAACCAGAAGAGCAGCTGGCAATGGCACGCGTGCCCACAGAGAGGGCTTTGCATGGCACCTCTGGCACGCATGTCATAGGTTCCCCATCACAGCTCTAAACCTTGAGATGGTTTTCAACTGTAGCTCTCATAATCTCTTTGGCTAAAAATGCGGAGACAGCAATAATGTAGGGGGGGGAGCAAATATTCTCTCTGACCACTTTCTAAAACAGACATGGGTTTTAAAGTTAATTTTAAAGGATTTCTCTTGTGATGAATATTTAGCTTTCCAATTGAACTTGGTTAGGAAAGCCTTTCAGATCTTTTCAAATGTAAACTTTTTCCCCCCATTCATAATGTGAAGGATAATGTATTTCTTTCTAAACTGATCCCCTCAAAAAATGTACACCAATAATCACTTTTAAGATCCAATATGGTTAAAACATATTAATTTGATGCTCTTTTACATTGTCTGTGATAAACTTTTGAACTTTGAAGACCCTGGAATCATGCGTTGTTATGTTGTTCTCAGCACAGTACTTTTCAAACAGGATGTTCAAATGGAGAAATACAATACTGGTATCAACTCAATAGTAAGCACCACTAAATGTCTTGGGAATGATTGGCATTTTACTCGTTGCATGTACAACTCAATGTATTTACTCAACATATGGTACTTTTCATGGTGGCTTACCTTCATGAAGAATCGGTTCAGAGGTGGGTTCCTACCAGTTCGCACCTATTTGGTAGAACCGGTTCGTCAAATCTACCAAACCGGTTAGAAGAGGTTCCACCAGTGGACCCGGAAAGCAGGCCACACCTACAGAAGAGGGTCCAAAAATTTTTGAAACCCACCACTGCTACACACACACAGAGAGAGAGAGAGACAGACTGACACACACAGAGAGAGAGAGAGACAGAGAGAGAGAGAGAGAGAGAGAGAGAGAGGAAGAAAGAAAGAAAGAAAGAAAGAAAGAAAGAAAGAAAGAAAGAAAG